GTGTGTGTTGAAAAAGTGTTTGAGAGAGTGAGTGTATATGAGGATGTGTGAAGTGAGTGTGTGTTGAAAAAGTGTTTGAGAGAGTGAGTGTATGTGAGGATGTGTGAAGTGAGTGTGTGTTGAAAAAGTGTTTGAGAGAGTGAGTGTATGTGAGGATGTGTGAAGTGAGTGTGTGTTGAAAAAGTGTTTGAGAGAGTGAGTGTATGTGAGGATGTGTGAAGTGAGTGTGTGTTGAAAAAGTGTTTGAGAGAGTGTGAGTGTATGTGAGGATTTGTGTGAAGTGAGTGTGTGTTGAAAAAGTGTTTGAGAGAGTGTGAGTGTATGTGAGGATGTGTGTGAAGTGAGTGTGTGTTGAAAAAGTGTTTGCGAGAGTGAGTGTTGGTTTGAGGTTTGAGAGAGTGAGTGTATGTGAGGATGTGTGTGAAGTGAGTGTGTGTTGAAAAAGTGTAGTGTGAGTGTTGAGTGTATGTGAGGATGTGTGTGAAGTGAGTGAGTGTTGAAAAAGTGTTTGTGAGAGTGTATGTGAGGATGCGTGTGAAGCTAGTGTGTGTTGAAAAAGTGTTTGAGAGAGTGAGTGTATGTGAGGATGCGTGTGAAGTGAGTGTGTGTTGAAAAAGTGTTTGTGAGAGTGAGTGTATGTGAGGATGCGTGTGAAGTGAGTGTGTGTTGAAAAAGTGTTTGTGAGAGTAAGTGTATGTGAGGATGTGTGTAAAGTGAGTGTTGAAAAAGTGTTTGAGAGAGTGAGTGTATGTGAGGACGCGTGTGAGAGTGCATGTGTGAGTTATATCTGAAAGTAAAACGAGCAGTCCAATTGATGTTAGTTAAGCTAATTTCATTATACAGGCATAATAACCAGTGCTTGAAGAGGGAAAAAGTGCCGACGAACATAAAGTTACTAACGTTCAAATCGCGCTGGGAGGGGTCACTTTAAGCGCTGGTCCTAATTAATCTGTTTCTGAATCAATAACTTTCATCCAACCTCGACTCGGAAAATAGCATTTTAGAGCTTTTAGACGACGCCTACGATTATGTATATAAAAACTGATTAAAAATATTGCACTATGCGTCGAAGTTCGGTAAAGTTGGCAACATATTCACAGATTCGAACTTAAGTTAACGTACCTGATCAATAACTCCTGAGCTAAACGTTCTTAAAACACAAATGTGTTTAAAGTTTTTCCCTCAGGGACAATATTGCAGTTAGCCTACTTGGTAACGAAACCTAAAACTACTAAATTATGTAGTAAGATTCGGATAAAATCTAACAAAAAAAGAAAAACTACACAGTAACATCAAATGAAACCTAAATTTGACAATTTTTGGAGATTTGAAATGACTAACGGTAACGTTACTGGTCAGCGCCGAAGTTTGAAACACACACTGGTTTAACGATTCAAAAAGGTAAACATTCTAAATGCTAGGACTCAAATATAGTAGAAGTAGCATAACCAAATTAGAAAACATATACTTTAACTTACCTGCTTATTTTCACCTCACATCGAAGATTGAACGCAAATCTGAAGGTCGAGTGATTCCTTTCGCGCGCGCAGCAGCCCCACTGCGTGCTTAGAGGAGAACGTATCCTTGCGCCAGGGCGGGAATTCCTTGAGTTCGAATATTTAAAGTCTTAATTTTTGTAATTTAAATATTAGCGTATTATCATATTATTATATCACATTATGAAACGATACTGTGGGAATAAATGCGTAATAAAACACTAAACTGAGCAGAACTACTTTGATAAGCGGAAGAAGATGTGGTCAGTCAGTGACAGTAGTATGGAAATATGATTCTTCTTTTGGTCGAATTGATTCTTTCGGGTAGGACGTTTCAACAAACCGGTTCAAAAACTGATTCACCACTGATTCACCTGCTCTTTTACGCAAACACGCAATGACGTACATATACAAAATGTTATATCAATAATAATTATATAAAAAATATATAAACTTGTTTTAATCAACATATCAATTTCATAAACCATGAAAAGACATAAAGAAGCTGACATCTCACCCCTCATTTAAGTCAGCTGCTTAGTTCATGAGTTACTGAGACTCTGCTTAGAATAAGCTGGCAGAAGAAAAATCTGTGCTGATTTGAGGCAAATAATGTGAATCCAAGGCGTAATTTGCGAGTGGGATGACATGCATGCACTGCTTTTTGCTAGGATCGATACTGTTGCAACCAATTTTATGAAATATTATATTATTAATGCTATATATACATACATATATAGCGCACCGATAAATTGGTGCTATGTGGAAAAAAATCTTCAAAACATATTTTTTGGGGTGTTATGTACATTGAAATTTTTTAATGTGATTTTACACTGAATTTGTAAATTTACAGTCTATTTCTGTAATTTTACAACAACTGTATTTCAAAAATACGTGAAAAAAATGTAAAATAAAACGGTAAAATTCCGTAAAATAACATTTTTTTTTTAGCAGCAAGCAAAAGATCGAAAACATTTCTTCATTGTTAGCCAGTTAGACTTGCACAATTCTGTGGTGTCATACACAAATCTTACTGTGTAAAGAATTGATAAATGTTCTTAATCCAGATATGAACGAGAAGATTTGCGCTTTTATGTCAGTTTGCTGATGTTGAAGGTTGTCATTTGCTGTTTTAAAAGAGTTTCAGTCTTCCAGCACCTGACAGCTTTGATCAAATCTTCAAGTAAAGGAGATGCTTGAGCAGGTGTTAAACTCTTTCACCTGTCAAAGTGGGTTGTGAAGGGCTTTAAGGCTCTATAAATAAGCAGTTGCTTTCTCTCTGTCATTCAGGAAAGATTAGAGGAATTACCAGGTTGCTGCTGGGAATGCTTCAGCAAAAGCAATCAGCTGCAAAATAACACAGTAAACACTGTGTTCCCAGCTACATCTTGTAGCATGAAGCCCAAGACCCAAATTACAGACTATCAGATTCTGAGTCAAATGTCATGGGAGGAAATTTAGGAAATACTGATACAAGATAAAATGCCATATATGAACTGTTCTGCTCCAATTCTAAAAATGTCATCACATTACGTCCATCTCTGAGATCTAGCAAATCTTCAAAAATAATTTATTTTCCAGTTGGGACTGAAGAGTCAGCAGCTGATATCACGTATCATCAGGAGTGCTTTTCCATGGAGCACTGCAGAGCAGGACTTGCTAATTTCAACTCCAAACTCACATGTTCCCAACAAGCCAGCGGGACCAAAATGTTTGTTTTTAATAGTTAATCATGTGAACATTATTTCTGATGGTGTAAAAGTGAACAGACAAATTCCACTGGAATACTGCAGTATACAGAATAGCCTCTGAATAGAATTAGCAGAGACTCAGAAACGCTTCAATTCCAGTACGAGCTTTGTCTGCTTGCCAATACCATTATTTTTGAATTTGAACCACTAAAATAAATGCAATACCTTTGGCACATTTTCACTGGAGGAACCCAATGAACTTCTCAGCAGTGTTGACTCAATGAATGGTTTGAGTCATGAAGACACCTCCCAACCAGACATGGCTGGTTTTTGGCAGTTTCACGCCACATGCCTAACTGGGAAAATCACTAGAGCACCTGACTACAAATCAAAACTTTTCACACATCATCACTGAGAATTCAGTATGGAGTGTATTTCACCAAACCACCTGCATGAAAATGCTCCTGGTAACAATATCAAAATATTTACATTGTAAAAGTGAGAAACTTACAGTAGAAGTGAATGGGGCCAATCCGTACATGTTAAAATATTCACTATGTCAACAGTTTACTAATCTTTACTAATCATATAACTTACTAATCTTTTCTACGTGAAGTTATATCCAATTTGACAAATTCTGTCGAATGATCCTAACCTGCATTAAACCCGCAATAGTCCTTAAATCTGGCTTAAGTATATTTACCAAAAATAAATTGCTTGACAATAAATAAGCAGACTATTCTTCACTATTTCTAACACAGATTTGTCATTGTTTACCTCACTATCACTACTATTGTCTGCCAGAAAAATGCCAAAGAAAACTGTGTCAGCCACTGAGTTTCCAGTCACAACTGGTTTTCGGCAAGTGTGTAAAAACCCTTATTGGGTAATGTCACTTTTCAAACAAGAGAATGCTTGAATAGAAAACAATAATCACTACAACCAAATTTCCAAAAATGTAATTCGAGAATAAAAAAATGGGGTCTTTAGTGCCGTTGTATAAGCTACTTAATTAAATAGAAGTGAGTTGGCAGTGTAGAACTGACCTGACGTTAAATATTTTATGCTCATAAAAGCATCTTAACCCATTAACGGTTTAGCACCAATATATGGTATATTATCAGTGTATAAAGGCTGCTTCAAATACAGGATAAGCTTGTGAGAAAAACAAATGAATCAAGGGAAATAAATTATTCATGGAGGATTTCCATGTCTACAGAGAAATGTGACATGACCACAGCTCTGTTTGTTCTTTGAGGTGTAAAGGATGTTTTTTTTTTTCTCTCATGAATGTTTCATGTTCTATCTCACAACACAGGTCCCCTGATTCATTATTCAATGAACTGGACAGGTGATGTGTGTTGTCACATGTGCTTTAGGTAAACTAAATTTGTCTCTTATTGCCTGTTACAAAAGGATTTTCCAAGTTCATAATTTAGACTTTAGTTAGAATTACTTAACAACACGTCACATAACTTAACAACATACATACAGTATACTGTAACTGCTCAACGTAAGTTACTTGCTGTGAATTTGTTCCCATGCTTACTATAAAGGTGAAAGGCAAAGCACTTGGCAACTGCATGAATATGCATATTATCATGCTAGTAATACACTGCAAGATAGACTTTGTACATTTATGCAGATAAAAACATTTCAAAAAGCATCAGTTTATGAATAATCCTTTGGTCTGTATGGTCCTGTTGAGTATTGCCTTATTCTTCAAGTCTGAAACATGTCCATATTCTTGACAGACTTGGCGACAGAATGTATCACAAGAAATTTGCTAGAAGGAGTTATTTAGGGAAAGTAACATATAATCTATGTATGAAAAATAAATAAACCACAGCTGATGTTAGTGCAGTCGCAGCTCTGGAGCTGTGTAGGTGAAGTCTTTAAAATCGTCCTGGTGGAAAGGGAAAAGACTGTCTTCAATGGGTGTAAGACAGGGCTCCTCTTGAGTGAAGTCAGGGTCAAAATTGTTCACATCCTCAATAGAATCCTACAAAACAAAACAAAAATGTTATTTATCACTAATATTCACACTTTTAAAATTAATCGGTTATCGGTTCTTTCATGTCAAGTCTACTGATGAACAAAGACTCTATAAAGAATAGAAATTCAACAACAGTATTTCAAAGTAATGGTAATAAAAGATAATCTAGGAAATAATAACAATAATATATAGATATGTAATATATATCTGTCAGTGTCTATTGACAATACACGCAGCTTAAAACAGAAGTGATGATGTAGGCTTACTATTCGAGGTGTGAAAGGTGGTGTGATCTCTCGTCTGTTCAGCTTCTCCCAGTCCAGTCCTGTGAAGAACGGGTGTGCAGTGATGGCCTCTTCTCCTCCATCTCTATCCATGCAGCCCAACCGACAAGCTGGGTCTCTGGTGAGTAACTGTGTAGAGAGCAAACAGAAATCTTCATCATCTAGCTTTCGAACACAGCGCTTGAAAAGTGCAATTGTGCTGTATTCCTACACAGGGGAAGTAGGGGAAGTCGTGGCCTAATGGTTAGAGAGTCGGACTCGTAACCCAAAGGTTGCGGGTTCGAGTCTCGTACCGGCAGGGATTGTAGGTGGGGGGAGTGAATGTACAGCGCTCTCTCCCACCTTCAACACCATGACTGAGGTGCGCAGAGCACTAATTCCAAGTATGGGTCACCATACTTGGCCACATGTCACGTCACTTCTTCACTTCTAAATGCCACTTGGTTGTTCTAATGCAAGAACATGACTTTATTTAAACCAAATACTTTTGGGGGCAACTTTGTCTTATACAGGTCAACTAGAAGTGATATTTTTATGAAGAATCAGAAGTGATATTTTTATGAAGAATCACTGGAAAAATACAACTTTGTCTTTTTACACTTCCACAATAGTCTTTGTCATACCGGTTTAGAAAGTTTACTGCCCACAATACTGCACAGATCACTGACTTAAGCCCTTGGAAAGGAGACAGAGTTATTAGGGATTTTACTCCACTAATGCGAGAAGACCTGTACTCAGTCACATGATGTTAATCCTTCTACCATGACACAGCTCTTTAACCCTTCACGGGGCACAATGGGGCTTATGTAATGAGACACAGAGGACAGGGACGGTCTGTGATACTGACATCTTGGGTCTTTTGAGGGATGAAACAGCAACAATGGCAGGTCTAACCACAGACTGTGCTCTCCGCAGCATATTAGCCTCATGTTTAATGGTGCTTACATAGGAACAGCTGGCCAAAACCCTCAAAACAGCCTCTCAGCCACATTAGCCAAGAAACATGTTCACTTGGAGCTCTTAAATGAAGCCAGTTTTGAGTTTTTTTTCTGGCGAGAAAAGGAATCAGACCTTGTTGAAGACCAGTACAGAGTCTTGTTTCAGCATGAAGGCCTTGAGTAGTTTTGATATAAACGTTTTGGCAATGAGTGATAACAGAAGAGGAAGAGAGTTGTTTAATGAGATGTCACTGCCAGGAAAGTCACAGATTTCCCAACATAGCTGCCTGAGATGTAAGTCAATACACTGGGGTTGTGTCCTTAGAGTAAAAGTAAAGATATTTGTCCAGTAAAAGTCAGACAAATGTACTTGTTGTGCAAAACAATGGATTTCACTCAAGTGGTGTCTGTGAATGCGTTTACATTTGAAGTCGAGCTACAAGGCTTTTTTTTGTGTAATTAAGCTACAGACTTCATTGCTATAATTAGCATAATTGCCAAACAGTCCTGGTCCTTAGAGTTTCACACACAGTTAATGACGTGTAGTCATAAACAAGGAGATGAGGAGATTATTTTATTTCTGTGGAGACAGAATGTAGAATATATAATTAAATATTTGAAGTTAAACACATGATTGATTAAATACCTCTGTCTTTCAGCCATATGCCAACTGTAGTCATATTAACGTGTAATCATGCTGAATAAAGCGGAGTTACAATCACATTATTTAAGTCTGCTAGCCGACTTCTCAAAAACCAAACTGGTGCAATTTCAAGACCATTTATAGAGACAGACTGTTTTAGTCTGACTGAAATTAAACTTTTAAAGCACATGTAAACAACCTTTGTGTTTAATCAGTCTGATTTTTTTTACTGAAGATCTAGACTTACTCCTCTAAGGATGTCCTCTGCCTCATTGCTGAGCCAGGATGAATAAATGACTTCATCTTTGAGGATGCACTCAAACAGCTCGTCCTCAGTCTCTGCTTCAAATGGAGCATGACCCGACAGCATCTCATAAAGCAGCACCCCCAGAGCCCACCAGTCCACTGATACACCATACAGCTCCTCCAGGATGATCTGAGAGAGAGACAGCATAAACCATCTATACAGGAAGAAAAAAAAAAACACCCACACCCACACACACACACACACACCATCTTCTTTTAAAGCTTCCTTTAGTGATGCTCACCTCAGGTGCAATGTAATCTGGAGTCCCACAGAAGGTACTAGTTAGTTTTCCATCACGTATATCCTCTTTGCACATGCCAAAATCTGCCAGTTTGCAGTGGCCATCTCTGTCCAGGAGAATATTGTCCAGTTTAAGGTCCCTTTGATAGAAGAAGAAAACAGGATGACATTATTACCATGCTGTACAAAATGTACCATTCTACATAATCTACTATTTGAAATAAAATTTAAGTATAAGTTGAAGCTTTAAAATACAAAAGCACGTAACAAAATTACTAAAACTTAAACTATAAATAAATTTAAAACTGGCAATATAAAAAAAAGCTAATTCAAAATACTATAATGGTATTAACACAGGGTGTACCCTTCAAGTAAAAGGTAATAACATATTTTCCTTACACCTTGAATACATGAGAGTGTACAAATCTTATTTTCAAAAAGGTTTTTAAATATATTTTATTTAAATATATTATACCCAAGGAGGGTATAATAATAATAAAAAATAAATAAATAAATACAAAAATGTTTGACTAATAGGGTAAGATGGCATACTAAATTTATTGCAGTATTCCAGTGTATTGCATAGATGGGTATAACATTTGAGTAATTAATAAGCCAAATACAAGTCATCCTGATCACACATCCTCATAAACCACATAAACATGCACACACATACACACACACACACACACACACACCTGTTTACTGTACAAACACAAAATTTTGACATTGATAATGATAAGACATGTTTCTTAAGCAGCAAATCAGAATATTAGACTGGATCATGTGACACTGAAGACTGGAGTAATGATGCTGAAAATTCAGCTTTGCCTCCACAGGAATAAATTACATTTTAAAATATTTGTGTCTTCTCATTTCATCTCAAACTATTTATACAAAGGTTATTCTTGTTTCATGAATCAAGTAATGGGCACAAATGGAAAAGAGGGAGAAAGACAAGAAAATCAAAAAGATCTCTTAACTTCCTGTACTTTATGACTAATGAACAAGAGCAGAGACATGCGGAGTCTCTCGCTCACAGTGTCGGAGAATTGGCACTGGCAAAAATAACAGCGTGGCAGACTCACCAGCCTAGCCATCAGTCACAGCCCAAATCTGCAGCTGAAGAACTGGCAGAAATATTTCAGGCCCTGTAAAAATGGACAAGTCTGTCTTCTGCCCAACCGTCAGTGACGTAACCGCATAGCCTACTTTCTTCTCTATGTAAAACAACCTCTTCTCTATTTTGCAATGTTGCAAGAAAAGTCTTCAAGCACCAACTATTCTGATAAATAATTAAATGGTTTATCAATTAAAGGCATAGTTCACCAAAAATTTTTAATTTGCTGATAATTTACTCGCCCTCAGGCCATCTAAGAATTAGATGAATTTGTTTTTTCATTGGAACAGATTTTAAAAAATGTAGCTTTACATCACAAGCTCACCAGTGAATCCTCAGCAGTGAATGTGTGCCGTGTCAGAATGAGAGTCCAAACAGCTGATAAAAAACATCAAAATAATCCACAAGTAATAGACTTCAGTCTATCAATTAACTTCTGGCTCAAATACAAGCCCATAATTCATAATAACACTTCTTCCAGTGAAAAAGTTCATCACCTGTTGTCCGCTCACATAAAAATCTACTGATATAATTGTTCAGAAAAGTTTTGGACTGTTTTTGTTTATAAGTAGTGCTTGATCTGTGCATATTTCTCTCCTGATTCAAATGACATTACTTTTTTACTGGAGAATGCTATGTTAATATGGATAGAGGACTCTCGAAATGGATTTGTTTATTATAAACATACAGCTTTTTTTACTTCACAATTTAAAAAGATAATTGATGGACTGGAGTCATGTGGATTACTAATATATTTTTATCAGCTGTTTGGACTCTCAATCTGACGGCACCCATTCACTGCAAAGGATCCACTTGTGAGCAAGTGATGTAATGCTAAATTTCTCCAAGTCTGTTGTGATGAAGAAACAAACTCATTTACATCTTGGATGGCCTGAGGGTGAGTACATTTTTAATACATTTTCATTTTTGTGTGAACTAATCCTTTAATTAAAAAAAATGAAAACAATAATAGAAAGAGCTTCATTTCTGACGCCCTTTTGGAAACCAGATGTAATTTAGCAACAGTGGAACAGTTTGAGAGGTCAATAAACACTTTGCATTTGCAGTTTCTCCAAGCCTCTGGGTAGAACCTGCTGAAATGAGACTAAAACACTAAAGTCATTAATGGACTCCTCGTTTCCGTCATGCACTGTCCAATCGTTTTGAATGAACCCGGTATAGCCCAGTCCTCAGATTAGAGCAAAGCCAGATTACACGGCATTACAGCACCGTCTATAGGATCGAGGGTAAGTAAGGTAAAGTGGAGAGGAACAGCCTGATGACTCAGAGGTCAACGAATCGTTGGACTGCTGGAATATAAAAGAGCTGTGTTACAGGTGGTCCTGCAAAATCCATGTTGAAATGTTGTAATGGTCATGATGAAAATCATTTTTAATATTTATTTGGAATAATCTCTGTGCATATAATACTATACTGCACTTTGTAACAAACAAAGTCATGTGATAAATCAGAGCAGTGTACAGGCCGCTCTCTCTCTCTCCCTCCCTCACGCTCGCTGTTTCCCTAACAGCTTATGTAAAAATAGATCGATTGCATGCTGGGCAGGGCCATGACACCAGCTCAGGTCCTCACTCAAAATGTACCCACAGTCCTCTTACACTACAATACTGCCATCTTCCCCAGGACTCTTTATCATTCTCCCCATAAGTTTCAAGGGTCAAGCAGAGTTCGCCAGCATTCCCGAAAAGTTCCCACAGGGAAGCTCGTAAATGTCACAAGCCTCATTTAAATGAGAAAGCAGTTTGTCAGATGTGTTTATATTTGGGCTTGGCTCTATTACAGGGGTGATCAGAAAGCTTACTCTGGTAGGCAAAGGTCGTGTGATTACAGCCAGGAAGAGCGCAATGTCCCGGCCGGGAAAAGGAAGACTAAGCCAGGGGTGGAGACTGTCTGTAAATTCTGACTAAGTGTGTCAGGACATGCGCAGACAAGATTTCACAGGCTGAACACATGCATGTCAAAGCAAACAACTGAGGGCAGTGGCATTGGCATGTGAACATCTGGAGTTTTTTCAGATGAACATTATGAAATTCAAATACACTTTCTATTTAAAAAGGGAATTAAATATTTTGTACATTATACCTGTGAGGAAAGATAAGCTACTTCCACAGCTAGCTCAAAAATAATTTAATATGACAGGAGATGTGTGATGTTAAAATGGTCCATAGTATTCCTCACCTGTAAATGATGCCTTTGGAGTGAAGGAACATGAGGGCCGAAATGATCTCTGCGGCATAAAACCGTGCTCGTGGCTCATCAAAACGCCTGCACTTCTGGATGTGGAACATGAGGTCCCCACCATTCACAAACTCCATGACAAAGAATAACCGCTCCTGAGAAATGAATAGCACAGGTTAAGCATACACATGGAAAAATAACATGTAAAAACATGTTATAAAAGTATAAAGGAGTCAAATATGAGGCAATATATTCTTTTACATCTTCCAACATTATTAAATCTGTAACAAGTACAGCATCTGAACTTGTTTACTAAAACACAGTGATGCTATTAATGTATAAACAAATTACTATAAATAAATATATATA